GACCCTTCAATTTTAAGGACTAAAATTATTCAGACAGTTCAATACAAAGGACAAAACTACCCAGCGATATCTTACCTTCTGCAGATAATGAAATAGCCCCTGTTCTTGAATCTACCTGGAACATATTCTCTGAGGGGTGACTTGGAGTCTGCGTGTGAATTTTATACTGTAAATCGGCATTTGGTGTGGAAGGGTCATCCAAGTCAATAGCACTAACATGCACGAAAGATGTTCCTGGGTTTAGAAAGATCACAGATTGGGTTTGGTGGTACAATGGTTTATCTAAACAATTTTTTTTAATTCAGCATGAAAATTCCTTCTGTAGCAGAATTTCAGTTCTCCTTCCTTCGCTTGACTCTTCCCTCTAAAATCAATTTAACTGTGTTGTGACTCTAGGCATTTTATACCTGATTTTTTTTTCATTTGAAGGTGACAGCATAAGTATAGTATGTGTAACTTCTCTGCAATTGCACTATTTAACCTGGCTTTGTGTATTCGTGCTCATGTAAGAGTTTCATTTGTAAATTCAGATCAATTAAGCTTTTAAATCTTCAGATGGATACCATATATGAGATGGAATCTACTTATATATTTGAGAGAGTGAGTCTGTCTTTACATCCGTCCATTTGCTCAACAACTCCTCCTAAACAGTAAGAGCTAGGACCACCAAATTTGGTATATAGTTTCCTATTATCATAACTTAAAGCAAAGTGAGAGTTTGGTTGTGCCAAGAAAATGGATGTGCCTGGAATGGGATTGTATCTCAGAAAACCATACAGGAAAGAGAAAGAATCATCAGGCAGGTGACAGGTGGCTGTAAACAAACTTTATGGGACTGTGGGAAACTCGGGCACACCCATGATATGTGGAAATATGGCTAACTAAATCATGCCAGACCAAGGATGGTGCCAGACCAGAGAGTGTCAGACTAGAGAGGTTCGACCTGTAGTAATAAATACATGCTTTGCAGTTATGTAGCACCTCAACCAAGGCACTTGAAGTCCTATAAAACCAATGAGTTAAATCTCACATTTGTTATAACCCCGGTTTTACAGATTCCATGTTTCCAGTGTTCACTATAGTTGCTGTTTTTCTTAAATTCCTGCTCCTGGAAGCATGTGATTAGTTATGGCTCTTAGCTTTTAGTGAGGGGAGGACAAAAAAGTAAATATCTAACATGTATGGTGGCAGAGACAAATTTGAAAATGTGACCTGACTGTACCCTAAAGGCTCAGAAACAGGAAGGCAAATATAACCACCCCTTCCCAGAAAGTGCTATTATTATTTATTAATAGCACTGTCTTATGATTTTAGGTCTGACTCAAACACCAGAACTGATTATCTTTAAGTAATAATTGGTGTTGAGTCAAGTTCTACCTTTGTCTTGCCCCTTGTGTAAGTGGGGAAAGAGAGTGTGGAAACCAGGACTTGGTTCATGGATCATACAATTAGTATTCATAAAGTGCTGATGTCACACTGTCGTCAGTCATTTGATAATTACAGAACACAAACAGACTTTGACAAAGTCCCAAGCACCTGCACACTGACCTAGCTCCTTTCCTTCCCGCTTAGGCCATAGTGATGGTCCAATAATGCCTTTAAGGGCCATTCCCGTGCAAGGCTGGAGACAGACTTCATTGGGCCCCAGGCAATGTGTATGTATGGGGTGACATTGACTCTAGATCCTCCCCCCCAGAAGGGGTAGGGCCTGAGGCAGAAGGGACAGGGCTAGGGGCAGGCAGCCTTCAGTGCTTCCCAGACCGTGCTGCTCCAAGCTCTCTCAGTAATTAAGAAGGGCCTAGCGCTCTAGCCATCATTGCTGCCATGGTAACAGCATAGGTGGCCTGGAGTCCTCAGCCCTTTTAAATCACTGAGCCTGGGGGGAGTAGTGGGGCAACTACCTCCTTTGCCTTCACCTCCCTCCCCCCTTCAGTGGCTCCTTTCCCCGGGGATGAGTGGTATGAACTACCAGACTAAATATTCTGCTAAGTTCCTGTTATTAGTGTAGTAGGGGAAACTGTAGTTGCATAAGGGTTAACAGTTGGACTAATACACATCGGAAAATAGAATCAGGAAAATGCTGTTTGGTTAAATGCCAGTACATGCATTCAGATTGCAGCAGTATAGTTTTCTGCCTGTTTTTCCTCCGTCTCCAGTTTTTGTGACAAATTGTAGCAAATGACAAGTACCCATTAAAATTCATTTAGCCTTCACACTATGAAACCTTCTGTAACTGCGGCATGAGATTGCTGCCACATCTCTTGCAATCATATGGAAATGCACTCTAAACTTTTAGAACATTCTACAATACAAAGAACCCTGCTGTCAGGGACCCCCTTCTGGCATATGATGCAAAGCAGAATGACCAAAGTAACCCACATGAATGCATTGAGGAAGCGGTCACACTTGAGGCAACTACAGATTTCAGACAAAGAAAATGTTTTATTAAGTAAGGGCCTTATTCTCCCCCTACTTACACTTGCTTTGCAGCAACATAAGCCAATGGAGTTCAATGGAGCTACATCTTTTTTTCAGTAGTGTAAATACCACTGACTCTTACCTTGTGTCTGCCTGTGTTAGCATAAAATGCTACCTTTCTTAGATGGGAATTTTTTTACCTACTTTGCTCTCACTTTACAGGGGTAGTCAGTGGAGACCACATCAGTGTTTAACCAGGACCCTTTTAGGTAATGCCACAGAAGGATGAGTAGTGTTTTTAAAACCGTGCTTGTTAATATGTTTTACATTACTGTAGAAAGGACAAGGTGTATTTTAAAACATAAATAGATAGAGACAACCCATAAACTCCCCTTTTTGGGGTTCATCTCAATTGGTTAATGCGGAAAAAACAATTTGTCCTGTCACCACTTGAAGCTTAAATGGGATAGAATGGATGTAGGTAGTGCTAAAGGAGTCTACTAGTATAAGTGGATCTCACACATCTTTTCTGATATTGGCCCCCTCTGTGGTACTAGTTGAGCAATTTACTTTTCAGAAGTGTCCACTAATGTTGGATATCTCGGTTCAAGGTGCCCAAATTGAGACACTTACCCACTGAGCCTTTGTTTCACTCAACTGGACTTGTGAGATTTAATGTTTGTGAAGCATGTTGAGCAGGGATGGGCAATAATTTTTGATGGGGAGCCACTCCAAGAATTTGGAAAGTGGTCGAGGGCAGCACTCTTCCATGATATTAATGAAGGCAATGCAAGGTCTGGCATGGAAGTTGGGTGCAGAAGGGAGCTTGGGATAAGGGAGGGAGTTTGGGTGAAGGAGGCAGTTGTGACCTGGGGCTCTGGACTAGGGTGGAGGGTGTTGGATTGTGACCTACGGCAGGGAACTGGGGTCCAGGAGGGGGTGCAGGGATTTGGGTTGTGATCTGGGGCAGGAGATTGGGTGCCAGATCTGGGAGGGGATATGGGTACAGGAGGGGGCAGAGGATTTGGGGGAAAGGAATGACTAGGGTGCCAGAGGTAGGCTCTGCCAGGAGACTTACCAGCCAGCAACGGTTCCTGAATCAGCCTCCCTGCCTGCCCTGCCCCAGCACAGGCTGCAGCCATGTGCTCTGGAGTCCCTTGAGCTTCATGGCTGCCTGTTACTGTTTCTGGCCAGACACTGGCCAATGGGATTGTGCTGGGGGCGGGAGCATCTCCTAAAGCTTCCTCCATCCCCTCCAGACTCGTGGTTTTTAAAGAAAAACCACCTAGCATCTGTGTTTCTGAGCAGCGTGCAGGTGGGGTGAGGCAAGCACGGAGCCTGCCTGCTGCTCCCTGCAGCATCTGCATGCCAGATCCGGTGGCTGGACGGGCCGTATTTTGCCCAGGCCTGATGTTGAGATCATCAGTTGAGAGGCTGTAAGTTCAAAGTACCTCAACGTCTACCACAGAATATCACAGCTCATGAGATGTTAGAGCAACTGGCATGCACTCAGTGGAGATGCTGAGCTAAAATGGGTTTCAGGGCTGCCAAAAGGGAAGGCAGAGGGGACGAGTGCTCCTGGGACTGGCAATTTAAAAAGGCTGAGACTCCTGGCCACCACTACTGCAATAGTGGTGTTGGCCAGAGCACTGGGCATTTTAAATTGCTCCTGGAGCCGGGTTGGAGGTGATGTAGTCCAGCCCATGTGTCATCTCATGGCATCATGACACATCACTTGGAAAGTACCTCATTTCACTGAAGTGCTTGACTTTGGAGGGAATACATTTTCAGGAAACCTTTCCCTGTGTTTCTGATGGCTTAAATCACATTCAGACGTCTTTATTGACATGAGGTGTTAGAGGCACTGGGCAGATAAAGTTGATGGTTTTACCATGTCAAACTTTCTGACTCCCTATAGGAAAGCCCTGAAATTATCCTAGGTTCCATTTGAAAAACAATCTCTTTGTGACTTTATGCTCAGTTAGGCAATAACGTTTGTTGTTTAAAAATACATAGTGAAGTTTATCTATAAAACTAATGATAGAACAGTCTAGCTTCTAAGATAGGCTCCTTTTAGCCTGCTTATCTCCTCCCTGACATTTCACTACTGAGCATCAGTGATCAGGAAACTTTGTACTGACATCTGAAAGCAACTGAACAGCAGCCCTGTGCAAAAGGCTATGGAACAAGCAGTCACATGGTTTCTATATTTTCTCTCTTGTTTACTGCATATATATCGGCCAAACGGCAAATAAAAAAAAGTGCTAATCCCAAAGAGAAAGGCACTCAGCTTCTCACATCCACACATATGGTTATGGTTATCTTTAAGGAGGGAAGCTATTTTGTACTTGTTCATTTTCCCTCTAACCCCCTTGTCCTCAGAGAGCAGATAATTTCTGAGTTGTTTCTAATGCAAACATTATACAGTTTATATAAATGAATGGTCTTAAAAATGGAACATTTCATCAAATGTACTAAGATTAGCACACACAGAGTATAAAAACCTTGACATGAGTCAAGTGGCGGAGGAAAATAAAAATGAAATAGATCTTGGAGAAAGGAGTCAGGAAGGTCATTGTTACCTTGTTTTGTCCCTTTGCTAAGAATTCCAAAGAACCTATCCTCAGTCAAGACTGGCATGTTGTCATTTTCATCTTTTACTGCTATTGTTACAGTTACAGAGTTAAAATCCAGCTGCTTGTCTTCATCTTTTACAGTCACCTGGTTTTAAAAGAACATGAATTTCAATAGCACTCATGTGTACATGCTTCCTTTTAAGCTTAGTGTAAGGTATGTGTACAGTTCTTGTAAATCTATCATGTGAAGTCAAGAGGGAGGAGTACTGAGGAAGGTTTTAGGCAGAAGCAGTGTGAAACTAGAGTAGGTTTAGGGATAATGTTGTTTTATTGAAAGTTCCTTCTTCAGTGTTAGAAGAACATTGTGATTCTTTACCACTGTCACATGACAGTGAGATTAACATACCCTGTATATGTATCAGCCAGCTATGATAGTGACAAATGTGCTGCTCATTGTGGCCACTTGTAACTTCACTGAAACTGTGGACCTGAGACCCACATCTTTCTGCAGTGAAGGTACAAGCTACAAGCACTTGCACTAAAGGAGAATCTCCGTTAGCTATTAGCACTATGGGGTTTGACACTCATAAGTTCTCATTGTATCCAGTAGAGGGCAATACTCAAAATGCAAGAGAAAGAAACAAAACATAACATAGAGATGTACGTGATAAAGGATGGTGACCTCTGCTCAGGTCTGGTCTGGCCTCAGTATTGACATAGGAAGTATGCCACTGGAGGCTGAGGGAGAGATTGATAGGAGACAGCTCTAATACTTCTCTTATGAGGCTGCAGTATGCACTGCTCTTCTGTTTACATAGGTCCCCAGTCAGTGAAGAAGGAGAAAGAGACCATGGCCCTGCATTAACTTTCCCTTCCCCAGGCCTTTCAGGGTGTCTTGCCCCACTGTTATTAATGTTAACAGCCCTTCAGGAATCACATATTAGGGGACTATGATTGTCCCTGACTAGGTGAACAAGGGGAGAGAGTTCCTTACACCCTCTTCTGCACCCAGACAGGGCTAGTCACAATCTGGCCCTGTGGGTTGTCCAGAAGGAAGGCTGCATGGACAGATCCAAGCATCCCAATATCAGTATTCAATAACATTCCTATTTCATGGACAAAAAATCTTGTACAGCTGGGCAGTCTATTGAAATGATTGTCTAACCTCATCCTGCCTCAAGTACACTCTAATATCACCAAACCTCTGTATGGGAAAAGGTATGTCCTTTGCTCCAGAGAAAGCAGGCTTATGCATCTGGTCTCTGGATCAGAATTGAGAGCATTAGAACAGTGGTGAGGGACATTACATACATATGATGAATCTGAAGAAGGATAAATAGAAACTCATTATAGGAGTATGTACTGTACTTTTAAGAGCAGAGCATATTAGAGAGAAAGGGATTGGGCTGGGGGAACCAGCTGGAAGCAGTCCAAATGGCTTCTTAGGAAAGGCTGGATATGGTGCTGAGCTATTGTAACTCCTGGAGAACTCAGTGAGTAGGTTCTCAGCAGGTGCTCAAAAACCTTCCAGATCTGGCCCAAGCAGTGGTAAAAGGTAAACTCATTGTGCTGAATCAAGTAGGGTTGCCAGATGGTTTAACAAAAAATACCGAACACCCTCCTCCTCCCTCCCCCCCCCCAAAAAAAGAAAAACACCGGGAAAAAATTCTGTCAACGAAAAAAAAGGGGGGAGACCAAAGTTATTAGGCAAAAGTTGTACCACTCCCTCCAGTTTGGGGCCACACACTAACCCCCAATGCACCCCTCCCTTCTCCAGAGCCAGGCCCTCCTAGTGTCCCCCCTATCCCAATGCACTCACCCCTCCCTCTGAGCCAGGCACCCCAGCGCCAGGAGTGCTTTGCTCCAATCAAATGCTGCCCCCCTCCCCACAGAGCCAGGCACCAGAGGAACGGGACAGCTGGGTAAATTAATCTTACTTTTAAAGTTGCTGCTCCTGCCACCCAGCCCGGCTGCCTCGGCTCACATTGTGTAGAGGGAGGCATCGTGTGGCCAGATCCTGGGTCTCTGCTGGTCACGTGGGCCAGAGCAGCATGCACTTCGCTCCCACCCCAGCCCAGCACCCCCCTAGGGAGGCCCCCGGCAACTGCATCCTCATGCCCCCCTTTGCTACAATTCTGCCACGCTCTTCACTCCCCCCACTCCCGCCAGATGCATCAGGGGAAAAATTTCACATGTCCGGTATTTTCTGTTTATTTATTTATTTATTTTTTAAACCGACAGGAGCCCACTAATACTGGACTGTCCAGGTGAATACCGGACACCTGGCATCCCTAGACTCAGTCAACTGGAGCAGACTAGATTTCATACATTTAGTCTGTATGCCAAAGAAGAGTAAAATACCTCCTTGGAGTCAGAAACAAGGAGGACAGAGTCTCCCCACCCTTAGTATGGTGTCGTTGGGTATTAAATTCAAATTTAGGCCCCTAACCGAATGGCCTACATGATTTTCAGAGGGGCTGAGAGCACCCATAGCTTCTATTGATTTCCATGGGAGTTTGCCTGAGTAAAGACTGAATAAAAACTGAGGAAAGGTCTTAGGATTTGGCCATTGGGTGTTCTCCTTTTGATGTCTCTCAATATTTACTTCCAACGGAACAAATAACAATGGCATTGGACAGCTGGGGGAGGTGTGGAAGGGCAGTGAGGTGAAATAGGTCTTGTGCCATACCTGAAGGGTGTAGAAAGCTTGTTTCTCCCTGTCCAGGGGTCTATTAACATAGAGAATGCCCGAATCTGGATCTATTCCAAATAGGCCTTCTTCATTTCCAGACAACTGAATGTCAGCTTGGCCACTGAGCGTGATGTTCATCTGAAGTTGGAAATCAGGAAATCAAGAGAGTATTTTAGTGCAAAGCAGAGAGAAAATACTTTTGACTCTAGCAGATGCATCTTATTTGCCATTTGGGGCTTCACAGCTACTAATTCTCAAACTGCAATGCCTGCCATTATAATAGCTGACTACCAAGGACATTCGTTCTCCTTGCTTCATGCTCCGATTCCCATGATACAAACAGGGCCAGCCCGAGGTATTCTGGTGCCCCCTGGCACAGGCGCACGGCACCGCCCCCGGGCGCACGGCGCATGTACGAGCCCACCCGTGGGGAGCGGGCCATCCCCCTATGGGGCGCAGGCCCACCCCCGGGGCACACAGCGCATGCGCAGCCTGGCTATGGCCACTGGCACGCAGCTCAGGGCCCGCCCCTAGGGCGCACGGCACAAGCGCGGCCCAGTCCAGCCTGGCCGTCGCTGCTGACATGCGTGCCGGGCCGTGTAGGACCCTGCGACCGTGGGGGGGAAGGGCGTTGCTGGCCGGCGCCGCGGCTGCCCAGCTCACCCATGCCTCTGTCCAGCCTTGGATACAAATGGGTGTTCACCACCAGGCATGCCCCAGAGAAATAAGATGCCTTATGGTAGACAATATGAGTGAATTCCCCAAACATCTGTGGGGATAGGCAGAGGTTGGGGATGGAGAGATTTTTTTACCACTGGGTATCTGTCATTTGGAAGTGACATTTGTGACTGGGAGAAGTTTGAGTGCCCAAGTTGCATTTTCAGAGTAGGAGGCTTTGGGGGGCCAGCAACTGGGGGAGGCAGAGGGGAATACGAGGAGGGTGGTGGAAGCAAAGGACACACAGTATCGCAGAATCCTAGAAATGGAAGAGACCTCGAGAGGTCATTGAATCCCCTGCCCTCACAGTAGGACCAAGCACTGTCTAGATCATCCCTGATAGATGTCTATCCAATCGGTTCTTAAATAGCTCCAGTGATGGAGATTCCATAACCTCCCTAGGCAATTTATTCCAGTGTTTAACCACCCTGATAGTTAGGAAGTTTTTTCTAATGTACAATCTAAGACCATTGCTTCTTGTCCTATCATTAGAGGCCAAGGAAAACATTTTTTCTCCCTCCTTGTAACACCTTTTTAGATACTTGAAAAACTGCTATCATGTCCTTCCTCAGTCTTCTCTTTTCTAAGCTAAACAAGGCCAATTCTTTCAGTCTTCTCTCTCAGATCATGTTTTCTAGGCCTTCAATCATTTTTGTTGCTCTGGACCTTCTCCAATTTCCTCATATCTTTCTTGAAATGTGGTGCCCAGAACGGGACACAATACTTCAACTGGGGCCTAATCAGCATAGAGTAGCGGAAGAATGACTTCTCATGTCTTGCTCACAACACTCCTGTTGTGTGGCTTGATATTTGATGAGCTATGGAATGACCTTCCCCACCATGGGCATAGAGCAATCAATGGCCTTTTATTTGAAAATTCATACTAGTCAGATGGGAATTCTGGCTGACAATGTTAAACGGTTGCATTGTTTTAAATTGATATTTATTTTTAATTTCCTTTGCTTTTTGGCTTCTGTTCTATAATTACTATAAATTCTTATTTTTTATATAGTATTGCGATTGCACATGGCACTATGTGATAGCTGATCTGTATCAAACAAATAAACCTGTCTCAAAAAGAACAATTAAAAACAACGAGGAGTCCTGTGGCACCTTAAAGACTAACACATTTGTTTGGGCATAAACTTTCATCAACACTAAGATCTTCTATAGCATATATGACATCCATAGCTTTCAAAATGCAGGGCTTAAAAAAATCTAAAGATACAAGCAATCAAAGTACGAAAAGAATGGGTCTTTAATGATTGTGCATCATTCAAAGGCAAAACATCCAGTGACTTTAATGGATATTTTGCCTAAATAGGAAATATAGGATTAGCTGGAATGCTTCATGAAACCAGTACATTTTGGAAGTTATTTTCAAGGAGGAGGCATCTTGACAAGCAATAAGATAATGAGTTTACTATTTTCAAATTATTCCAATAAATGTGAGGGTCAGAGCGTCTTCATAAATGTATCTTTTGCATGCATATCCATTGTTGTGCATAAAACTTGAGTTTGCACGTGCAGCTGGACAGCCGGGCACTAAGAGCAGGCACCGACTTAGTGAGCATTACATGTTGCATATACAAGACTTGTTTATGAGGCCCTTTGAATATATGACCCTTTATATTTTTATTTTTTAAAAAATCTTTGTTCCTTGCACCAATTTTTGTGCCTATGCCCTCAGAAGAGGCCAGCTCTGGAAAATGGTACATTCAGTACACTACAGACTCAGGCCTGGAAATACCCATATTTTTGTACTGATTCTGGCTTTATCTTTACTGACTATCAAAGCTGAGTTCCGAGCATCCTAGTCAGTGGTGCAAACAGCAGCAGCCATAAAATGGCAGTGATGTGCTCAAAGTCAATTTAAGTACAGATTGAGTCACAGAAAACATTTATTAAATGACAGATGGTGCTTATGACTGGTGAAAGAAAATGACATTTTACTTGCTATTCTAACAGAGATCAATTATTGAATTCAAACAGGTTATTATGAATTTAAAACAAATGTTACTATCAGTGATAGTTTTTGATCCAGTAATGTGCTTACCGAGTAGCTGGGAAGGAAGAATGACTTTTGTGTTATAATTGCCTAGCTTTTTTTTTTATAGTTGTGACTTTTTGGAATCCATTAATCAGCAGAATATCTATATGGCATGGGATTATGTAAAATATACCTTTTACTCGACTACAGTAGATGGTGTTCGCATTTACTTACAGATTTGGGTCAGATTTTTTCATGTTCATAAAACATTATGCGAAGATGACACTTAAAGGGGTACTGTGATAAATCTATGGTAGACTGGATCTGCTGCTTCTTTCTTTGAAGATTAAGGGTCTGGGCTAATAAAACCAAAACATTTTGACCATAAACTGAAAAAAACTATTGGAAATGCCAGTGGGGTGTCTTTTGGAGTTGTAGGTTAGGTCCCTCATGCCCTTATCCTTCTCTATGGACTGGTTTCTCCAGATAAACATTTCCAGTGATACACAATGGCCAAGAATTCCTATCACATTCAGCTGGTCACGGTTAAAAAAGAGGAAAAACTATGGTACACTATGGGAGACACAGTGCCATCAGGGACCCCAGACCGGAGAAGAGAATGAAGTCATGAGACACCTGGACTAAAATTCTCAGTAAGAATAACAGCAGCATTTCCAACTCAATGTTCAGCTTTGAATTCATATGGTTTGTTTTTTAGCTGAAAATATTTCCATCTTTTTAGCTAAAAATTCAGATCTTTCTGTGGGAAATGTTAACAATTTTTCGTTAGAAATTAGCCAAAAAATAGAAAATTTCAATTATTGAGTTCTCAGCTCTTTGGGCAAAAAATTAGATAAATATGATCTTTCTCTTTTATTGTCCACTTTGAACTCTCAAGTTCAAACCACGTCACTAACACAAGATATAGCTGTAATAGTGAATTGGATATGGAGTAACAAACAAATTGCCAAAGACAAATATATTAAATTCAATATATTTTTATACCGTGACAACGGCTGTCTCCAGTGTTCCCTGGATACTAGCAATTTGAGGATGGGAGAGAGTCAGTAGGGATTATAAAGCAGAGAGAAAACAAAGAATGAAATTAACTGTTGATGGATAGCCAAAAGGTCATATTATATAATGGCCTATTGATAGAAGGAATATTAGTCTAACCCTCTTCTCTGTCATTCACCAGTTTTGCCCTGGCATGACTCCATTAATTTGAGATGAAGGATTAGGCCAATGAAATCATAATTAGGTCTTTAACTGAAGTCTGAAATTTTACACCATCTGTCATTTTGTTGGTTGTATGAAACCATATTTAAATTCCTACCTTCTTCAGATATAGTGGGAATGAGCCACCATAATTTTCAGGTACCTCGATGTGTTCTTTGCTGCTGGTGGGATATATTGCAGCCAAGAATGGGAATACCTGTGGAAGAAGATTTAGCCTCTTAGTTTTGTCAGGAGCAAATGAAAATATTTCTTAATATAAATGTTACCCTGGCAACATGCCCCTTGTTTCATGATCATGGCCCAAATTCTGATGCCATTGTGATGGGTTGCTACCCCTTTAAATGCCACTGGGATGCCACTGAGCCTGTCTGTTCTGCCAGCCTGGGTATCCTGTCTTCCTGAGCTGTTAAGCCTCCTTTAGCACACAAATAGGCAGGGCCACACCTAGCTACAGAAACAGACACTAAGATCAGTTCTGAGAAGACACATCTTAAGGGATTTACCCAAGCACTCAGGTACCCACCTCCCTTGCAGTACAGACCCAAAGCTATATTGTGAAATCCTCCCCCCTCCCTCAATGTGGAGGAAGATATGCACAGCCTCTTACCCCCTCCCACATCCCCAAACTAGAGTTCAGGATCATTAAAAAAAAGGATTAAATAAAAAGGGTAGGTTTTAAGTGACTATAAGAGATAACCAAAAGAACAATACAGATTATCCTAGTAAATAAACTAGATTAGGATATGCATTAGCAAATACTCACCTGAGTGATAAACAGGCTGACAGATCCTTAAGGCACAAGTTGCCTTGGTTTTCTGAGGTTTTCATACCCTGATTAAAAATCCTTTTAGCCTGGGACCATTATTTCCCAGTCTTTGTTCCTCAGGTATTTTCCAGGTGTGTTGTTGCAGAGAATGTGAGATCCCGCTATGATGTTATTGTTCCTGTTTTATATCTACTTCCCTCTTGCTAGAAAATTCTTTTGGCGTGACCTGGGTCAAACAATGTCCCCATAAGAATTGTGGGGGGTGGATGAGGTTCCTAATGGGCATCTGGGAGTGGGAGGCTTGGGGCTTGAGCAGTCCCAGACAGAAAGGGCATGCCCCCAAACAGCCCATTTCACATGCCTGGTGATTCTGTATGGCTTTAAGAAGTAATCCCATTCCAGTCACATCACATTTTCCTGGCACAACCAAACCCCTTACCTTAAGTTATGATAAGAGGAATCGTATACTGAATGTACTGGTCCTAGCTCTTTCCATTTAGGAGGAGTCCTTGAACAGGCAGACACTCTCTCAAATATATTTAAAATGCTACTTTAATGGAGGATGAATGTATTACAAAAAAATCCTAAGAGGTACAAATGAGTCATAGAACAGAAATTTTAAAACCCTTCATCTAAATGATAAGAAAAGAAAGTTTTAAATACAGAGACTCCTCTTATAACCCTTCACAAACTTTCAGGACACTTTCTGTTGAAAGGGTACTAATAATTGGAGATGGGGAGAAATCATGAAATATATGTCGCTTAGGTATTGCTATCTAGACATTGGTACCAATCAAGAGACATCAATGAAGTAAATGTTCATCCATTGAATGTGTGTCTGTCTGTCTGTCTGTGTGCATGCGCACACGCATATGCATTTTTTCAGTGTTTGGGCATGTGTAAGAGATTATTTTAACCTCTTTAAACTCTTCATCATTAACCTCCTGCAGTGTTCGTACTTGTAATACTTGTGTCCATGCTCCTGTAGTCTTGTTGGGTCATTGCTCTAACCAACCTGCTCGCTTTTCTGCCTACTCAAAGGTGCATTAGTAAGTGTATATTGGTCAAATGCATTATGGATTTATTGCATTCAGAACTTTCATAATCATATTTAACTCCTCTGCTCATGATGTATATACCTATGGCAGTTCACAATATGCTTCAGGAATAGATTAAAGTCAAACTTCTTCCCATGCTCCAAAAATAGTGTTTGCAAAGCTGAGAGTACTTCTGAACCACTAACATGAGGAAGATTTGTGTCACAAGACAATATCATGACCCAAACATTACTTCACAACACAGCACAATGACATTAAGGATGCCAACCACAAATTCATGGAAGTTTGGATTTGGTTTGCTATTGTTTAGAACTTCTCCTGTTCTGCTGGGACTGGATTCCAGTCCTTCCCAAACCATTCACCCAACCATATCCAACTTCAGGAGTATGGATCGGTTAGTGAATGTAGCAATGACAAGGAGCTATGGCTTCAGCATTTGTTGGTGTGGATAGGAATTGTGTTAGGAATGCTGCACAATGAGGATTTTTTTTAAGAGACTGATATCTAAAATTAAACTCTCTGGGCTCTATCTTCTATTGCACTACATCTTGTGTAGCTATTTATATCTGAGTGCAATAGTTCTGATTTGGTAGCATTTTACACCCACTTTGTACAATGGCTTTACTAGGTGCACAACAGTGAAGAATCAAGCACTGCACACACTTAATCAGATCTAATTTACCTCAGTGTAAACTTGACTTAGTAGGGTAGCCCCGGACTGAGTAGGTTAGCAAGCTCCTTAAGCGTGTGTTTCATTTAAACATGTGAGTAGGGGGGCTAGTCATTTGAAACAGCTCATATGCATAAGGACTCTTACTAAACTGTGGACTTGCATTGGTAAGCAAGGTCAAAATCAGCCTCAATAGGTGTTGCAGTGATAGAAATGTCTATAGATTTTAATGTCAGTTTTGACATTTAATATTGTTTTCCTCTTTGTCCTCAAGAACTGTATCTGATAATTGATGCTAGAATATTGTACTAGTTTATGTTCATTCTGTTCTAAGGGCCTTTTATTGTCTAATTTCTAAGTTATTTAGTGTATAGAGTCCTGCAGTGTGTACCATAGTAAAGTTATTAACATAAACAATGCCTATATGTTCACAGAAACCGAATATGCAATATAAGCACCATATGCATAAAATATACCACTCACTTGAATAAGAGAAGAGCAGACAATCAATAGCCAGACAGGAAACATATGTTTAGACAACCTGAAGTTAAATGAAAGAAAGAACACATTAGTTTGAATTCACTTAAGAAGCAATATTTTTCCTGACTTAAATTCTCTGTTTTGCCTCTGAAATCACATGGCAGGATAAAATTGATATGGTGAAACATAGTTAAAAATAAATACTAGAGCCAATTAGAAATAAAGTCAGTGACTTAGAAATATACAGAAACTGCTTGGGAAATATGTAGACTGCATACCATCTAATGTAGAACTGGCATTTTCTCCTAATGTAACAGAAGGGGTGATGCACAGTACAGCTGGTCACCCCCATTTGTTGAAGTTGTATATTAAATCTATTTACTGTGATCTGTTAAGTGTCTGAATGTGTATTCATGGGACTAGAGAACAAAGTGCTGCATCTAAACATAGAAGAGTTTCAGAGCTAGCAGAACCCCTCCAGAGGAGACAGCAGTCCTTAACCTCCCCTCTGGGACTGCCAACAATCATTGCACTTGTGATAGCCACTTTTGTGATGATGACGTCTTTTGAGACCACCAAACCCACTTTATTCAGTTAGTAAGGACTTTCAATCTGTGCTGTCCCGAGTCATACTTCTATCAGTGACATTGTAACAGGTTCTGTTGTTGCTGCTACTATTCATTTCACAGTGCTGAGAGGCCCAAATCTATTGAGGCCTGTTGTGTGAGGTAATGCTGAATTTGTAAAGAAAAAACTGCCAGGGCTTAAGCAAAACAAAATGGCATCCTCCACAACCCATGACCTCACGCTCACTGTACAGTGTAGAATTCTATGTCATACTAAAGGCCACTGATCGAAAAGGGGCTATGGACCAGCATGAAGAGAGAGGCAGGGCTGAGCCCAGCAAGCTTCAGCACAAATTAAGCCCTAATGGTAGGCACAGAACAAATACATAGCAAGAGATCATTCCTGCCTGGAAGATGCTGCAGTAAAAATAGGCAAGATAATGAAGGGTGTGAGGGCAAACAGTGAAGAGAAGTGACTCACTCCAGCTCACCCAACAGACCAGTGGCAAAGCCAGAAACAGAACCCAAAGACCTCTGAGCATAATTCAGTGCCCTGACCACTGGATGTGCTGCCCATCTGGCCCCCATATTTCTGATCTATTCCAAGCTTTGCTGAAAGGTCTTTGTTTATTTAACTATTTAAAATAAGTTTGATGTCTGCAATGCTCTTTTGTTTTGGTGAGGTTTGGCCAAATAATAGATCATCAGAAGCACAAAACAGTAGTTAGATATAGGGATGTGAAGGACTAGTGGACTAGTTGCTTCCCCCCTCACCGTGCTGCCTCTAGATAGAGGCAGCAAGGAGGAGGAAGAAGAGGGGGTACCTCAAAGTGTCAGCGTTGCGTGGAGCCCGGGGTCAGCTGGGGACTCCCGAGCTCCATGGAGCGCTGTTGCTTTGAAATGCCAGAGCCCAGCAACAGGCTCCTCATGGCATTTCAAAGGGGCAGCACCGCACAGAGCCCAGGGTCAGCGAGTCCCCAACTCACCCCAGGCTCCACATAGTGCTTTCACCATTGAAGTGTAGCAACATCCCTAGAGACCCTATCGACTAATCGAATAGTCGATACAAAATGCATCATCAACTCTACGATTAGTCAATTACCCAATACTTAGCATCCTTAGTTTGATAATACCCAAGAGAAACTATGATAAAGAAACAACTGAGACTTAATATTCCTGTTAATGTTTCTAGTATAAAAACATCAAGCAGAATTAAAAAAAAAACTCTCAAGCTTTCTTTATTCAACTTAAAAAGTCAAAAAGACATACACATTGTTTTTCTTTTGTAGGTCACCTTTCACATAACCCACCATATTATTTTATTTCTCCCTGAGTCCAAATAACTTGAGCTGGTAGTAGGTCTCTTACTATGCTAGGTTAATTTGCTTCAGGAAAATACTGGCTCACACAAGCTCAACCTGCCTTAAATACACAAATCTTCCACTGCTTACTGGGCTCTTAGAAGAAATTTAGGGGTAAATTAGAGCTAAATAAAAGCAAAAATCACTCAAAGCCAGGACTGGAGACTGTAAACAAACTGAAGGCTGTAAGCAAATTTTATTGCACCACAGGAAACTTGGCTACACTGATAAGAGAACATTCAGCTAACTAAAATCATGGCAGACCATGGATGCTGCCAGATCAGAGAATTCCAGACTAGAGAGGTTCAACCTGTATTCAGAAAAGGGTAAATACTTATAAGGAATCTCAGATAACAAGGGAGGCTGATATTGCTAATGTCTTCGGAATGTTAATGAGCAAAATTGTTACAGCATATTAGCCGCTAAGGTAGATTAAGTGAGGGTACTATGGGCACAAATGGGCACTCATTTCTCAGTTACTTTTGTGAAAGATAAAGTGGTTGCAGAGTTGTAATAGACATATTTATTCTACAAGTGTTAGAAATATCAAATATTAAGATAATGAAATATTTATGAATAATAAATGCATTTCTTATCCACACAAGCCCACGATCAGAGAATTCTGAGAGAGATGAGGACATTTTGACTTAATAGAAATGCTTAAGCTTATTAAAAGGCAAACAGCAACAGAATAAAATGGCAAAAAATGATTCTTCAAAAGCCAGTTATGATTGCTGTCAGGCTGAGGGTGAAAAACTTGGTATATATGTATCCACGATGCACAATATATTAAAATAGCTGACAGTTCCCACGGTATAGAGCAATAAAGCTGACAGCAGATTAATCATTTTGATTTCTTCTGTTTTTGTGTGTATACTGGACATAGTTATTAATCTATTCCCGTTTTCCTGATGCCTTTAAATCTGTTATTTATCAGGGAACTAATATTGGATTGAATACTGAGAAGAGTGATGCCAAAAATGAATTTAGCTGACAAAACTAATCATAAGGGCTCTAATACAGCAAAAAAACACTCATGTGCCTACCTTAAGTGCCATTGAATCTTATATGAGTAAAATTAAGCACCTGTGTTAGTGTTTGCAGGATCATGACCAAAGTCAAATTAAATCCTTTTGCACCTTCATTTTAGTTTGGATTTTTTGGTTCTTCAGGTGATTTGTAGAGTTGTGCCTTGATCCTGCAAACACATGGACTTAACTTTACTCACCAGTGTAGTACTGTTGAATTCAGTGGGCCTATTCATGAGAGTAAAGTTAAGCAGTGGTACATCTTTGCAGGAGTAGGGTTTGGTTTGTATTTTATTTTTAATAAACTCAAGTAAAGAGCTTTACAGTAATTTTGTTGTTAATTGCCTCCCAAGCTTAGAAATATTGTTTTAAATTTAGATCATTCAAATATTCAAGACTTTTGCCAACAAACAAACAAAACAAAAAACACTAATCAGAACATTTTTCCTGGGTTCATTTTCTCAGTTTCTGTGTTTGAGTGCATGTACCTGTCAAAACATTCTTGACACACACATAAACGCATGCACATGCACGCGCGCGCGCACGCAAAGAAATTTCAGGTGCTTCCTATTCATAAGTTCATCTCTTTCCTCATTTTCACAAACCTTAATTTTAAAAAAATCTTCCCCTCACTCCCCCCATTTCTTGGAGGTTGTAATGATCCAATCCTGTAAGGAATGCAAAATCAGGTTTTATTATATTTAACACTGCCAGAGAAATATAGGATCATTGCGTGATATTCTGGCCTCATTAAAAAAAATGGTCCCTTTGTAGTCAGTGGGTGTTTTGCCATTGATTTCAATGGTCCCTGTCATGGCAACTCTTTGAGGAAAAACTGGTCTCAGCTTTGCCCATCATGGAGCAGCTATTCCTCATTTGTGAGCTGGCAAAATAAGGGCTAATTAGTGCAATGTTGCTTAAATAGTCTGACTCCAGTCAGTGTTGAGGTAAGGTACTTTTTAAACAGAGTTGGGACCTCAGGAATACCCTGGAAGGAGGGATAATGGGCGTTTACCACTGGGCACAGTGTGAGGTAGTCAGGCTGAGTCACCAAGGCCTGCCAGAGGAGAAAAAGACTTAAAGGAAGCAGCGTAGGCTCCAGTGGGGAGCTCCGTGATAAGTCCTGAAAGAAGCAAGGAGATCCTCACAGGTAGTCCCTGGCAAATGGAACCAGCTGGGGAAAAAGCAAGGTAAGAGAGGCTCTGCAGTGGTCAGAAAAAGAGGTGGAGAAGCCCAGGACTTCAGTCCGCCCTGGAAGGGGCAGGAGAACTATTGGTTGGAGCATTTGATTTGGACTTTAAGTTGGATCTCTTTGTTATCCAGTCAAAGTAGCATTCACCAAGAGGAGTACTTAAGATCCTGGAAACATGGTGCCCAAGTGCTAAGGGAAACCTTAAAGGTGAGGTTTTGTACATACACAGGATAAAATTCTAAATGATATGGGATTGTTCTACACCATAAAACTCTACGCTGATTTTCATAATTCGGTATCTCTGAGGTCAGTAGCTTACATAAATGATAGCAAACCCAAACCTCAAAATGAGAAGAGAGGGTGTGATGTACTGCAGCTCTGTCAAGCTTTTCTTCTCCTTTCTCCAAACGGCAGTGTGTAAGAGCATTTCTCCGGTTAGAACACTGGTGATGCCCTAAGACCCAATCTAAGTCTACAAAAGGTAGAATCATAGAGCTGGAAGAGATCTCAGAAGGTCATCAAGTCTGGCCCCCTGCCAAAGGCAGGACCAATCCCATCTAAATCAACCCAGCCAGGGCTTTGTCAGTAAATCGACAGGACACAGGGCTTTTGCTGGTAGAGTTATTCCTCGTGGGGAGAGGAATAACTCCTTTTTGTGCTACAGCTCTTGCGCAAAAAGGTGTGTGTGGGCGCTCAGCATGGGGTCCTTGTGAAAAAAGAGCCTATCAGAAAAAGCACAGGTGCGCTGATGGCCATTGGGGTCCTTGTGCAAAAAGAGCCTATCAGAAAAAGCACAGGTGCGCTGATGGCCATTCTGTTAATGGCAATGAGAGCTTTCTTGCACAAGAGTGTCCCTGCAGTGTGGACGCTCTCTTGAGCAAAACCACATCACTTTTGCAATGAGCTTTTGAGGT